TCTCTCTCTCTCTCTCTCTCTCTCTCTCTCTCTCTCTCTCTCTCTCTCTTATTTTTTTACTCTTCTCTTTGCCTTCGATCCCCCCCTCTCCTCTCTGTAATGCTTTCCGCTCTCCCCCCTCTCCCCCCTCTCTACCCTCTCTCCCTACGGCACACACGAGTCCTAGCCCTTGCCAAAATTACAACAGTTCACTTGTTGCCTCTGCTACATAAATGTGGTAACAGCGGCAACTATACTATCGATGCACGTATCAACCAATTCCCCCGTGACACACTGCCTACTGGACGCGAAGAGAGAAACTATATTTCGAAAAAACACCAGGCAGGGGGCACACAGACCGTAACCCTAACCCTACCCACGCTTTAGCCGATTCTACACTTTATCCAGTATGTTCGCTTCACTTGCTTAGCCAAACCAGCGTAGACTACTGCCCGTGGCCAAAGCCATAGTCATCACCCGTACAACAGCGCTATTCTTGCAGAAAACACGTCCCTTAAGACAAGTAACTCTCCGTGCCGTCAAGACGAGAACCAACCGACCACAATACTTGTACCGTCTCACCGATGGCCACGTCCACATCGTCCTCCCTCACGCTCTCCCTCAGGTGCATCCGAGCCCTGGCTTCCGCCATCCTCATCACCGATTCGATGTGCCGCACGGCGATAGGCACGCCCCCCGAGGCTGAGCTCTCGCGGCGCAAATCCGAGTACAGGCGGGCCACCTTGCGGACACGGCCGGGGAGGGGGGGGGAGCACACTCTTATGTCTTGCATGCCTTAGCGGTTAGACCATTGACCACGCGCCCTCGAGAAGACGGAGCATTGTTCCCACTGGACCGATCACCGATGGCCAGTCATTCCTTCCTGCTTTGCCAAAGGTTGCTCATTTTCTTGTGTCCATAGCATATCTACCTTATCGATATCGCGATATCGCGATATCGCGATATCGCTTCCTGTCTTTCAGACCACTTCCTGTGCCCTACTATACTTTATGGCGTTTCCATGCCTCAAACATCTCTGCGCCTTCCTTCTACTTTTCCCAGGTCGGGCATGTACCTTTCTCGCTCCTTCTGGTACAACGGGCATTCTGCAACTGTGAAGGACACGGCAGCGGGGCCATCTATCGTAGCCTCATGTTTCTTATGGGCACGACATGCTGCGACCTTGCCAGCAAGTAGAGCGAGCCTGCAGCTGGCTTCGCCTTCCAGAGAGCACCGTCAAACGATACCGGATGTCGCCGGAAGCAGGGACGATATCATACATCATAATCACGACTGTCAAGAAACAACAAGGCGACGACAACAAATTAAGAGTCACCACACCAACAACAACAACGACAACAGTTATCACACATGCTTCTCTAGAACAACCACATAAAATAGGGCCGCTACGCCGTTATACAGCAGCTATTTCGCCCCCAAAATTCCGAATTTCCAAATCCGTAGACGGTTGAATCTCGATTTGCGGCCGAGGAATAAAATTGAAAAATTGGAAAAATTGGAAAAATTGGCAACTGCTGACACCGAAATTTTTGGAAACAAGTTGAAAATCGGCAAAAGTCGGAATTTGCAAGTATGGAAAACACCCTTATTCAATCCGTTGTTTGCGACCACCACCACAAGAACAACAACGACAATAGCTCTCACCCATGCTCCTCTAGGACAACAACAAAATCAATCCCTGTTCGACGGGTCCGGATATCGATCGAACGCTCATGAGACCTCATCGCAGGCGAAGAGACATCCCAACATGGACATGGACCAAAGAGCACGAGGGCGCATCAATCAAAACGACGGGCGCACCTTATCCTGGTCGATGTTGTGCAGCTGCGGCCTGATGCTGTTCCTGGCGTACATGATGTACTTGCGCAGCAAGTGTTGAGGGATGGTCCCCTCTCCCTGAAACGCGTTAGCCACGAACGGAGACAACCAAACAGAGACAAGGCAAAATGAAACCATCATTCTCGCCGCTATTTTCTGCGAACGATATGAGGGGTTTCTAAGCAAGTGTACATACAAGCCTCAGAGAAAGAACACAGACAATACCACGGCTTCCCTGTTGCAACAGTCAAACAGAGGCAAAAAAATGAACCGTCATTCTCGCCGCTGTTTTCGGCGAACGGTGTGGGGGTTTCTAGAAAGTTACACAGCATAACCTCATAGAACCAAAAGTACCCGTTCGAGAATGTACCACGGTTTCCCTCTTGCAACAGAAACACAGAGAGCAAACAGACAAAACCGACATTCTCGCTACCGTTCACGGCGAACGTGGTTTCCCTCGCGCCTGTCAAAAAGAGACACAAATGAAAACGCCCATCTCACAGACCTTCTCGGCGAACGGAATAACGGAATGAGGCAGTGTCGGGGTTTCCTCTTGCCACGTCAGGCGTTACTCCTGTCGATGACGACATCGTCCGCAACTATCATGGATGATAGTCCAAGGGTTTCTTCGTAGCCCTCCGACCGACCAGAGCATCGCCAGAGAAGTATCTGCGACCAGTATCTACCCCCAACCCGACTACAAACGCAACTACTGCCAGGGTTCCACCATTCGCAATCCCAAGGAAAACAAAGGATACCAGAGCCTCACGCCGTCTCTTTCCCCTCGTTTCCTCTCTGTGCAAGAAACCGGGGAAAGAGCAGAGGAGAAAAAAGACAAGAAGAACGCCACAGTACAGCTCCTGCACCTTGTCATTGATGATGGCCGTCTTGTCCTCCTCGTCGTCCTCGTCCCCTGTCCCCTGGGCACCACCACCAGTAGCAGAAGACGCCTGGGCAGCGGAGGGGTGGCTGCGGCGGTGGCTCTCTACGACGAACATGGCCAGCTGCTCGTCCATCACCGGGTCGACCGTATCTGAATCGAAGAAATGCGCAGCAGAGGGGGGGGGGAGGGGGTACCCATGTTTAGCATGCCGTAATTGTAAGGTCATTGACCACGCGTCCTCGAGAGGACGAGCAACTAGATTGGCTAGAGAGTGTACATTCAACCACGGGAAGTCTGTTGTACCCATTCGAGACAACACCACAGTATAAGTGGATGTATCAAGATCTTGTGCAAGGGAAGATGGAGGGGAGGGGGGGGGGCGGGGGTACTCATAGTGTCGTGCATGCCGTCGTTAGACCATTGGGGGGGGGGAGGAGGAGGTGAATAACTGTTAGACACACGTATGCATGCAATCACAAACACAACGTTGTACCCGTTGGAGGACACACCACGGTACAAGTGGATGTTTCCGAGTTTTATGCAAGGGATGGTGGGGGTGTGTGGGCGGGGGTGGTGGGGGTGTGTGTACTCATAGTCGTGCATGCCGTAGTCGTTAGACCATTGACCTCGCATCCCTACAAAGCCGGGACGGAGCACGCCGGGTTCTCACCGGACCAGGCTCTCACATCACCAAGCGCGAAGCGCCGTGAGATATTCGGCGAGTCGCATGAAGGGTGCGCTGCATCCTGCTAAGGGTGTTCGGCATCTTGTACTTACTTCCTTGCATACGGATGACAG